ATAAACTGACCATCAGGAAGTTTAGACTTGAAATTAGATGAAGGTTTCTAACCATCAGAGGAGCGAAGTTCTGGAACAGCCTTCCAAGGGGAGTAGTGGGGGCAAAAGACATATCTGGCTTCAAGACTAAGCTTGATAAGTTTATGGAGGGGATGGTATAATGGGATAGCCTAATTTTGGCAATTAATTCGTCTTTGACTACTAGCAGTAAATATGCCTGATGGCTTGTGAAGCGATGTTAGATGGGGTGGGATCTGAGTTACTACAGAGAATTCTTTCCTGGGTGTCTGGCTGGTGAGTCTTGCCCACATGCTCAGGGTTTAGCTGATCGCCATATTTGGGGTCAGGAAGGAATTTTCCTCCAGGGCATATTGGCAGAGGCCCTGGGGTTTTTTTGCCTTCCTCTGCAGCGTGGGGCATGGGAGATTTTGCTGGAAGATTCTCTGCATCTTGAAGTCTTTAAACCATGATTTGAGGACTTCAGTGGCTCAGACACAGGTTTGATATAGGAGTGGGTGGGTGAGATTCTGGCCTGTGTTGTGCAGGAGGTCAGACTAGATGATCATAATGGTCCCTTCTGACCTTAAAGTCTATGATTCTATGATAGCATAAAAAGATGCAATATCTCCTTTTGTAACCACAATGTTTTTGAAGTATATAACATATTACCTGTTGCTTTTTAAGCCACAAAGTTGTTCTTACAGGGATATTGGCGGGGAGGGGTGAAGAAGCACAGGGACTAGAGGGCTGGGGTAGTGGCCATGGGGGAAGCAAGAACCCTGTGGGGAGGGAGTAGGGGAGAAGCCAGGATATAGGGACCTGGTGAGGATGGGGAGGAATGGTGTTTGGTGGTGGTGGAAGCAGGGGTCTGGAGGGATGTTAGAGGGGTGTGGAGCAGGAATATGGGGTGGGGGGAAGTATTAGGGGTGTGGGATGGTAATGACTGGGGAAATAGGGATCCAGAGGCGATTGGGGGCATGGGGAATGGCGGTGGCAAAAGAAGCAGGGATGCAAGGGGGAGAAGTGGGTAGATGGGGGTGAAAGCAGGCAGCTGGAGTTGGGGGCATTGGAGATGGGATGGGGAAAGGAGGGACCTGGAATTTATGTGGGGAGGAAGGGACTGTTTATAACAAACCCTGGGTTTTTCAGTTCCATTTTCCAGCAGAAAAGCATTGTGCTGGAAAATTTTCGACCAGCTTTCTTAGTGACAATTATAGGATGTACCTAGTGTGCTAGAAGCTTATGACAGACAGTGACCCAGGGAAGCTTGATAAAGAGATTGTCTCTAGTAAATTTGAGAGTTAAGAGGTAAACCTTCGGAAGAGGACATCTGGGATGTTATTCTTCAGGATTATTACCTGTGTCAGGTGACGGTATTGGGTAGCAGGGATAAGGAGGTCAGTTTAAGAAAATGGTGCAAATAGTCAGAATTTAAATGTATAGGACCCTGAGGTAGATTTTGAGGTAGTCCCGATCTATACTGAGTAGAGGAATTGCACTTGTCCCAAAAGGAGGCTGATCAAATTAGCAGTTGTGTTCTGCAGCACCAAGCAAAAACAGGAGTTGGAGTATGTGGAGTCTCTGATACAGTCACTCAAGGAGCAGGCGAGGAGAGGGGGGCTCTGCAGCTTGGAGCCCCAGGAGGATAGTGTGTGTGAAGCTGGAGGGGAGTGAGCTACTGTGCAGTAGCCTCGATGGGAATTGATGACCCAGCTGAGTACGTGTGTGTCGCTCTTCTCAAGTGCTCTCATTCCAGCTGAACATCACCACTTAAAAGCTTGCTGCCAAATGAGTAGGGCCCTACCAAATTCACGGTCCATTTTGGTCAATTTCATGGTCATAGGATGTAAAAAATCATAAATTTCATGATTTCAGATATTTAAATCTGAAATTTCACGATGTTGTAACTGTCAGGTCCTGACCCAAAAGAGGGTAGTGGGGGGGGTCACAAGGTTATTGTAGGGGGGTTATGGTATTGGCACCCTTACGTCTGCGCTGCTGCTGGCGACGGCACGGCCTTCAGAGCTGGGCGTCCAGAGAGTGGCAGCTGCTGGCCAGGAGCCCAGCTTCTGAAGGCCGTGCCACTGCCAGCAGCAGCGCAGAAGTGAGGGTGGCCTGGAATGGTATTGCCACTCTTACTTCTGTGTGGCTGCCTTCAGAGCTGGGCCCTCAGCCAGCAGCTGCCACTCTCTGGCTGCCCATTGCCACCCTTACTTCTGCGCTTCTGCTGGCAGTGCTGCCTTCAGAGCTGGGCGCCTGGCCGGCGCC